GCCACGGAACTGCCAACTCCTGATTCTCTGCTGCCCTGCAAGGCTGAAGAGGAGGGCTCTGCAACAGCCAGCAGCGTGCCTGCCCAGCCATGCCCTGACGTTTTGACCTGAAACACTCCTTGTTGGTCCTTTGCTCTGGAAGGCCATCACCAGGTGGTCCTAGCCACTCTCCTGGAAGGTGGTGGGATGGAGAGCACCCCACTCTGAACCCAGCAGTGCCATGGGAAGGTGTCTCCTCTGAGGTCAGGCTGCTGATTGACTATTCCATGCCCTGCATAACTCACAGGCATCAAAGACTAAATATTTGGGTTTTGAATGGAGGACGATGTCCTTGCATTTCCTAAGTGATTCCACACACCATGCCCAGCTGATCAGGCCTTGCTAATGATGTGAACAGCACTCCAAATTTAGCTCTAATTTAATCAAAGTAAAATTGCCTCTGGGCAGTTCACTGGAGGGAAACTGAGGTGGTGTGAGTTACTAAGAGCCTGTGCTAGACCTCATGCTGGCTCACAGGAGATTATGTTTCATCTGCTTTCTCTGAAGTCAGCAGGTTTATGATAAGGCTGGATTAGAGTTTCCTTCTGCTGCCACTCACTTTATCCAGGTACTCTCAAGCCTGGATTCAACATCCTCTGAATCGGAAGAACTTCTGTGAGCACTCTGCAGCACTAGATATAACTGTAGATTTACTCTCATGTTGAAAAGCCACACAGCTATATCCAGGGCTCCTCAGACAAAGAAAGCTGCTGGTTTACGTGGAATGTGGGTGCAGATAGCAAAAAGAAATTATTTTTAAAAAACATAAACAAAACAACATTTTTGGGACAGTCCATCTCTGAGATGGAAAAATCTTCTAGCAGAAAAAATGCTCCATCGATTTAAGAGTGATGTGTGTATGTCGCTTTTGAAACTGCCAGCCTAACAGGCTAAGATGAAATGAACAGGCATGTTTCAGAGTTGGGAGGAATGCTCTGTGTCGTCCTCTGATACTGGCAAGACCCCATCTTTGCCCTGGAAATGTTCCTGACTAAATGTAGACTAATGCTGTGAACGTTGTGAGAGGAGAAAGGGGCAAGGGAGGGTTAAGAACTGCTTTTGGAGTAAATCCTATGAGTTTCCAAAGCCTTTTGATTGAGACTGAGGTGCGTTACGATGGAGTGGGCAGCCTGGAAGTGGGGTTCAACAGGGAAAAGCTGGATTTGAAGCAGAACAGATACAGATGCTTGGCCCATGGGCAGAGGAAAGGTGTTACCAGTGCAGCAATACTCTGAAGAGCATCGGCAGTAGATGTGGGAGGGACATTTCTGAAACATAGCCCAGATGTACGTGTCGGAAAGTGCCAAAAGCTCTAGGGTGTAGAAGTTATGGGGGATGTAAAGACGCTGGGGTGTAATCTAGCGTCAGGTGACAGTCTGGGAACTTGGTTTCCTTCAACCGTGCTGCCTTTGCTGGAACAGCAAGTTGGCCAAGGTTGCGTCAACGTGCAGCTAACAAAAACGCAGAAGCTGTGCAGCCCTGGCTTGCCAGAAACAGTACAGGTAGCAGCAGGGGCTGTGCAGCATGGGGCGCAATGAACTGTGTCCTCTGTTGTGTATCAGTATGAATTGATAATTTCTCTAAAACCTGCCCATTTCAAGGGTGGCTTTCATCTCTCTCCCTCACTCATCATCCTGGAAAAGAAGTATTTTTCTAATTAATATGAATTAGTATTTACTTAGTGTCTGGAGTTAGGAGCCAAGCGTGTTCTGCATTTGCCAGTAGTGTGAGGCAGACTTTTGTTTTCCACGCTGGGCATCAGACAGTTGTTTCACACTGGCCATCAATGTGGTTGCCAAATAGCAGCAATTTCTTGGCAATTGCATGGAGACACTTGTGGCTCAGGGAGGAGAGCAAAGAGGCTCTAGTTTCTGTTTTGAACTGTTTTGGTTGTCCAGTCCCTCCTTTGTTGTTAGCTGACCTTTTTAAATTTAGCAGAGGAACAAAATGGAGCAGTCTCGGGAAGCAACCCCACATCACTGGCTGTCCCCTCATGGGTACACAACAAGCCAGACCAGGCACATGGCTCTCGAGGCTTTCATTGCACTTACGCTCCCCAGCAGGAATGGCTTTCGTTGGCAACCGTGAACTGGCGTCAGCAGAGCCATTTCTCTCCTCCTTGCACACCCAGGTGCTTGACAGGAGGTAGGGCAGTGCCTCGGCAACAGTGAGATGGGAAAGTAACTTCTGGGCAAGATTCCGTGATCCTTAAAGCCACATGGTGGTTTCAGACGGAACCCCCACCCAGATGCTGCTCAGCTCAGCACACAGTAGGAGAGGGGTGCTCCTACCACTGGGCTGGAGGGGAAGGATGGTTACAGTGAGCAAAGGTGCTCTTCCAGTTCCTGCGTGGATCATGGCTTCACCAGTAAATGCTGGAGAGGGGGAGCAGGCTGGAATGGGTGGACAGTCACATCTGTGTCCTGTCACACCACCTCATTGTGGGATGTGTTGAGAGGAACTGCCCTGCTCACCTCCAGGACCAGCGCCCAGGCTACGATGCGGTGGTTCAGGATGCAGCTCTCGCAGCAGGAACAGACACCGGGAACGGGACAGGAGCGTGGCCTGGTGCACTGCAGGCCCCGATGGCTGTATTTTGGACTTGATGCCTTGTGTAGCTGAGCTGGATAAATGCTTCACCTGCTGCTTCTGGACAGGCAGAGAAACTGTCTGTCCCTTCCTCTTAGAGCCTCAAGTTCTCACTCCCCACTACAAGCACTTCCCACTACAAGCACTCATTTTAGAATGGCTCTGACAGTAATTAGCAAGCAGCAGTAGTTCCCTTTAACAGGCTCAGAGGACTCTGAAAACAAGAAAAAATAAGACGAAGTGTTGCCTTATTTTTATACAAAAAAGCTAATCATTTAATAATTTTAAAATGCTCTCTACAAGATAACAAACTAATACAGGCTTGCAACAAAGGTTCTCCTTTTGAAAGCACAAACCATCAACATAACCACTAAGCTTCAAAACACATTTTCACTTTCTAAGAATATACGGTGAAAAAAATGGACAAGGAAATCCAAAAGAATCTCAGACAACACCAGTACGAAACAGGTTCACGTGGATCGCTTTTTGGCAACAGGCTCTTGGTTACAACAGTGTAACCGCCCTTTCTGGGTGTTAGGCCAGGCCCTGGAGCCAGCTCTGGGCCAGCTGAGGTTGTGCTGGCTCCCGCTGCCCTTCCAGGAATGGGTCTGCAGACCCTGGAAGCAACATTATGGTGGCTAAGAGCGCTCTTCACTCTGAGACAATGCATTAAGGCTGCAAGGTTTCATACGCTGCTGAAACAGTTTTGTTATCAAAGACAACAAATCCCATTTCAATAAGGCACATGCTCGGATACAAACTGGGAAAGGGAGAAGTGAGGCAGAAGCGCCAGTTTTCCAGGTGCCACTGATCTCACCACTGTGTATTTACCAGGGATCTGACTGCTGATGCGAATGCTCAGAGCTCACCAGCGTGGGACTACCTTGAATTATGCAAGGACAGTAGTGTTTCTGCTTTAAAAATGTCAGAATCACTGGCATTTACCTGAGCCGTCGCTCACTTTGAAGCACAGCTTTTAGTCTGAGGACCACAGGCAAGTGGCATTCTGCAACTTATTTTCAGGGGGTTCACAAAAGGCAATGAAGATGATTAAGCTTACGTTTTGGAGCAGCCAGCATACGTGAAACTTCTAAAGCAGTCTACCACTCTGCTACCAATTTTTAAGGCTCTAAATGGAAAATTACTGGGTGGGATTGTGTGTACTTCTGATGGAATGGCCCCATTAAAACAGGAGGTCATTTTTGGCAACAGCATAGTGCAGAAAGACCAGCAGCTGTGCAACAGAATTTGGCAAAAAAAAAAAAGCGCCCAATAGTTGAATGGAAGTCAGAATTGCAATAGATGCAATCAATTTCCAAGAACATGTCCTAGAAAAATAAGTGCTTTTTCTTCATTACATTGTGTATATGGTATAGAGATGTTTAAATACCTGTTATTTCAAATTAAGCTGTTTTCTTTCCATACAAATTACAATTTGTATGTTAATCCCTCTGGAATGGGCTGGAATTTTGAGACATTGCTCATCTGCAGCCTCAAAGATAAGCCCAGTGGATCCTGGGATGCTCTCAGGATAACTCTGAGTCCATGAACAATAAGGCTTTTGAGCCTGACTGTTAAATTTAACTGCCAACGCAAGGACATACAAGGTTAACACATATGAATATACATCTCTGGGAATCCATCCATGTTTCAAAATCCCACGTTGCACAGTTATCAGAAACAGTGAAATTTGAATGCCATAAGATATTAAATATATCTAGTTCTGCCTTCCTCCTTAGAAGGTTCTGCTTTTTATATGGCCTAAAAATACTTTTCTCCCAAATGCTGTACGCCTTGCTCGATGTGTTGCTTGTCCCAGTTGTGCCTGTATGCTAGTCAGAATGACTGAATGCTGTGTGTAACATCAAGAGGAGAGTTAAATTTCATGGAATTAACCTACAGAAAGTAATTTTTAAGAAGGGAATGGAGTTCTATGAGAACCATTACACTTGCTTCATGGATTGCTACAAGTAGGTTTCACAACCAAGTCCATGTGCCAAAATCAGGATGGAATGAAACAGGAGTGCAGCATCCAGTTAACAAATAACTGAGGAAACAGGCATTATATACAAAAGATACTCACGGCTTACCCGATGCATAATTTTTAAGGTGCTTAATTGATGGTTTAGGGAATGTAGCAACATATACATATACGCAGTGTATACAAATCTAAATGTGTATTAGAAACATAATACAGAACCAGATATATTCCCAGATCCCTGATTTCATTAGATTCTCTAACGCAAAATAATGTATTTAAAATATTTCATTAAAAATATCTAAAAAAAGAAAAATGGTAACATGTACACAAAAATAGCTCCAGTTTGTTTGCTCTTCTGTTTTGCTCCTCAGGGGTTGGATTCCACTGGGCTTCATAAGGATGCCATTTGGACCAGTGAGAGTTTGAACAACTGGGCATGATGAGACAGCTCCGTTACTCGGTCCACCATCTTCTGTAGGGCTGGTGTGTTGGGATAATGCAAGGCAGCCATCTTGGTAGCCAGAACAACACTCTTCAGCAGTTCACACAACTGGTTGCTGGAGTTCATCACTTTGTTGCGTATGTCCTGAGTCGTCACTTGCCTCGTGAGCATGTCCCCAATGAACACCAGTTTGTGTGCGCTCAAAATGACAAACTTGCTGTGAGCCACAAAGATTCGGGGGGGCTGAGAAGCATTGACGCAGCTGAAGAAGGCGTCCATGGCATTTAGGAGGGAGTTGAAGTGAGTCTCGCACTGGTCAGAATAGAATAAAAGCAGCTGGCTGTCATGGGAGGTGGCAGTGCTGTTTGCAGTCTGGAGAGCTTGAGGTGGCTTCCATTTTGAGATGTCGTTCTCTACTGGCTTTGTGATCTCTTGCTCCAGACGTTGAAACTGATTGATCTGAAAGGCAAATAAAAAGGCTCTCTTCAATGAATATTCTCATAAGATGTTGTCATGTATTACAATTTTGCCTTATGCCTCAGGACACCCCTGGGTATCCTAGATTGACCTTACGCTAACCAAAAAGTAGTACGTTATGTTTTCTAAGTTCTTTTATTTTGGAGAGTGAGGAATAATCGAGTGCTTTGGTTAGCGTAGATCCAAATACACAGAGTTCAGAAGAGAAAAACATCTAAAATACTTTATCTGTAATTTAAAAAAACCCAATCTCCTGAATTTACAGGCTGTTGCTCATTTGGAATATGCTGAAATGACAAGTGAGAGAGATGGAGCCAAATGGCAATGAATCCTACAGGATCTTTAAAAAGCTGCCATCTCTCTGGGATTTTGAGATGACAAACCTCTAACTCTCACTTCCACATCGCTTGTACAATTTTCTGCCATATGATATGGCAACAACATATCGAAGAATTAATGTAAGGGCAAAGTGATAGCCCTCAATCTTATATGACCTGCATTTTTAGCATTTGAAGTGATGTTAAGCACAGTATTTACGTTAATGGTGCTGATGTTCACTGAACAGATGTGCAGGCAGCATATACATTCAGTGTGGTCCAGTGATTAAGGCACTGGATTGCAGGTCAGGAAAGTCAAGTTCTCAAGTCAGTTTTCTGACTGACCCACAGTGAGACATTGCAGAAGTCTGTTTTTCCTCTGTGGTAAACTTCTGGAGACAGAGACTGCTTTTTATTACACATATGCACTGGGCCCACCACAACGGTGCATTGTATAAGGAAATAATTAGTCTCTTAAATTGAGGTGGTTGGAAATTGTTTTCAAGGGAAAGGCTTATTCCTGCCGCAAGAGACGTCATTCTAAACACTGAGAGCTGTGGCTGTGCTTCCACTCACTTACGAAGTGGCAACAAGGATATGAACAGGTCAGAGATGCTGATCTTCAGAACAGCTACTCTGCAGCAAACGCTTAAAAGATTTCTTTGACATAAGCAATCACTGACACCGATGCACAGGGCCAGAAAGGTGCTAAAATCTTGATGCTCACCATTTCCCATTTGGAGCATGGCAGTACGTGTCCTTGTCCTTTGCACTGATAAATCCATTAATGATGGAGCCTGACTGGCACAAATCGCACTTGGAAAGAAACGAACCTGGAGCTGCTGTTTAGCCAAGACCTAATACCTGCTGCCGTCACCACCTAGCGCCTGGGACTTTCTAACTGCATGTGCTGGCACTCACACACACCTCGCAGCCATGATGGTAGCGCACTGCTAAGGGAAGGAGCCCTCCTGCTTTGTTTGATCAGTCCTTCTTATGTGCAAGGAACACTGTGTATCAATGTGATTATTGCACCTGAGCGAACATACCTGATGGTGCTCTAGCTCCATTTTGTTCTGCTTGATGATATTTTCTTTTTCCAGCAGCTCCTTCTGTTGCCTTTCAAACTCTTCTTTCCCCTGTTTTGCATAACAGACGACACTGTGTTAAATCAAAACCACTCCTGAGCTAAATGACAACTCATAGGTGAAATAACCGGCTGCTTTGTATTGGCTTTTTCACTGGTATGCATCACTAAGAGTACGGAGAAGAAAAGGATGGTGTGGCAGAGCAAAAGGCTATTGCCATTATGTATGCAACAGTCCTGTCTGAGAGGAATTAATCATTAATTATTAGTGTGACAATCTGATTGCTACTTTCCTGCAAACAGCTTCTACAAAAACCCACAGACAATTCTTACTTGGCCTTGTGGAGAACAAGGTGTTGGGTTTACCCACCTGCAGGTGAACATAATCGTAGTCATCCATCCAGCTCTTTTCTGAGCTCTCACTGGTGGTATTGCGAGGGTGCTGACCTTTACTCAGGAGCGGAGGAAGGGAACTGCAGTGGTTCTGTGCTTTTTCTCCGTGACGCTGCATATGTGGATTGTCATACACATACTCAGGAACGTTCATGATATTCTCTGGTATGTTTTTGAAACGTGAGCTGCTCAACGCCTGTTTGAAGAGCACCTCTGCGTTGACGCTGATGGTAGTGGTCAGCTGCTTGGCATCATCCGGGACTGTCCTCGCCACCATAACAAACCGATCCAGGTCATCACACTTATTGTGCAGTCTGTTGACAGCTAGAACGTTCAAAGACCAGTTGTAGCTGTTCAAGTCATGACTGGTTTGGGTAAGGATCTGGTGAGAGTCCTCCAGCCTTTGTACCTCCCTCCTCATTTTGTTAAGGAGGCTGAACTCAGACAGGCAGGAAGCATTGGCTGCTGATCCTTTCGCAAACTGGAGGTACTCCAACAGCAACTGCTCTACCTTATCCACAGCAGTGTGAATTTCATTGATGTGCTTCTCCATGTACCCATAAGACCGCCAGTCTGCTGTAACGAAGGCCATGAGGTTATTTACAGCTGTCTCCACCATCTGCTGGAGGTGATAAAGCCTCTCTATAGCAGTGTCTGGATCAAGGATTAGTCTTTTGTCCTGTGCAGTTGATGCTGAGAAAGAAGAGTCTTTTGATGTTGTTGAAGATGTGGACATGTTACTTCTTGTGCTTCCTGTGCTGGAGAAAGACAACCTATTTATCCCATCAGTCACATCCTGTAAGCCTTTAGTGTCTTGGAGGACTGGTGGTGGCACATCATATACACCTTCTCTTCCTTCTGGGATGAGACTTTCGCTGAGTCCTGTCTGTTGTCCTGGGAAGGCAATTCCCCTTGGGGTATCATAAACATCTTTTTGAGGTGCAATTTGCTGTCCAAGAAAATGGTTTTGATGGTTTATAGGGATGTCATAAACATTCTGTTTGTGTGGCGCTCCATCTGGCAATAAAAGGCTCTCAGGAGAAAATTTATTAAGTTCTTTCCCAGTTGCTTTGGTGATGGGAGGAGGAATATCATATACTCCTTCTGGTCTTACACTGTGGCCTGCTGGCGATGAAAAATCCTGCAAATTTTCCCTCAGGCCTGTATCATCTCGGCATGCAGATGGAGGTGTAACATAGACCTGAATCACACAGAAAGCAAACCATGAAACCTTTAGCTAGAATACCAAAACATTTTACATCTTCCATGTGGCCTATAAAATGCTGGGATGGAAGATCTGCCATTGACTTTCATGGAGTCGGCTACTTATCCCGAGTTTGTCTGTCAGTTTTAATATCTCACTTGTTAACATTCATCTTGATGCAAATTCTCATAAGCAGCAAAATCCAAAAAGGCAGTATACTGCCACAAAGGTAATGTAGGTCTAATTATCAAATCACACTCCCTAACATTCATAATTTTGATGCAGTGCTTCACTTTACCACTTTTAACAGTTCAAAAACCTAAGGAAATCTTTAAAGTACCGAATCTCCTTTTCCTTCAGGATCATACATGAACCCTTGTTTAAACGCGTCTTTGGTTGGACATGAAAATACAGGATCTTGTGGAAACAGCGTTAATACTTACCCCTTTGGCAGGCGGTATGTCATAGACTCCCAAAGCTTTTGCTTCTCCCATTGGAACTGGAGGTGCAGGCCCCTTAACTGATGTGGGGGGAATGTCATATATCTAAAGAAATAATAAACCAGTTACAGAAACAAATCACCTCAGGTAAGTTCTGATCTTAAGATGAGTTTTCTTGGTTTTCCATGTTTCCTCTCAAACAGCCTGAAGGTGATCAGAGATCTCCAACTTTGTTTCATATGGGATAGCTGCTTGGATTTGCCTGGTATCTTCAGACAGTTGGTAGGAAATGCACTTTGCTAGGTCCCCTCTGAGCAATCGTGTGGACAGCAGGCTGGAGAGATGAAGTCACGGCTGACTTCCATCCTGACAGTTAAATCAAGGCCAGTCTATTACAGATACCTGTTGAGGTGAACAGGGGAGTAGTATATTCATGTGACCAGAACCGATCACACCCTTACTGATAGAGCATTAGAGGGGTTGAGGAATAAGCTTGTACTAATACACACTGAAACTAAGGCTGCTGCTGTCAGCATCGCCTATCTGCTTTATTGGATGCAGTGTGAGCTGTCTCCCTAGCAAAGAGTACAGCTGTCAGATGTTTCAAGCATTCCACTTGGTGGCATGTCCTACATTACAGTGGGTTCTGCCGTGTGGTCTAAGGCCACTATCTGAACAGCTTCTAACTCAGACTTCCCAACAGTTTCAGCCATTCGGTGTTAGTCATGTACTACTGGGCTTCAATGTTGTTCCCTGGAGGAGCTGATCTGTCAGAGAGCCATGGAGAGACGCAGGGTTGTTGAGATCTTGCAGACATCCACTCTAGATGTCTGTGGTCTTGGGGACTGAATGCTAAGGGTGTTCCCCAGAACAAAGACATGTTTCAAGTTCAGTGACATGGTGCAGTAGATATGTGGTGAAAACAACTCCCTGCATAGTAGCTGTTCATCTAGGCGATAATTTTACCCTTACTGAGTGAATTACTGTCAACTATGCAACAACAAAGTCAGGGGAAAAAAATTGTTCCCAGGCAGCAAGTTTATTCTATTTAGATATACTCTTTGATCAAAACACGGAAAATAAATGGGACTTTTGCATTTGGTGTGCTGCCAAATCTTAGTCAACATCAAATACAACTTTGAAATACTTCTGTACTCTGTGATTAAGCCACAGCTTCTAATTAAAACATATTTTCTCTCTGAAATGAGAGAACTTGCTTTGCTCGTAAATTTCTGGTAGAAATTCATCACCTTTTGTGCCCTGTCAGTGCTGTTGGCAGTTTTATTGGTACCTACCCCTTGGAGAGGGCGAACAGGGGGGATATCATAGGTATCTTTCTGGTATTTGGAAGGGAATTCATAAACATAACCTTGTCCTGATCTGACTGGAGTTACTACCTGTGGGATAAAAGAAAAAGAGAAAACGTAAGTCTCTGAGGATCTTGGCATGTTCTCTCCATAACTGCACAGGGTACAAACAATCCGGTACTATTAACATTCACACGTTACGTGGCAATGTTAGTAACACAAGTCTACGAACACCTGAACAGTGTAACACCACAAAGTGACCATCAGTAGCTACAAATGCACCATCTTTTTCTTCCAGACCAGTTCTGACAGGGCTGCTTGCTACTGCTACAGTATCTTCTATTTGTCAAGCACAGATTCTCCAGCAGGTCTAAGAGAGCTTGGTCCCTTCTTCCCATTTCCCACCCATTAGCACAGACCATATGAGGTGATGGTTACACCACCCACTCACCAAGACCAGGGCTACGTACATGCTGATCCTACTGAGGTGCTGAGTGTCCCCACTGACTGACGGAGGGATAAACTACTACATTCAGGCTCTGGGATTCTGCCTCTTTGCTTGTGGAGGTATTTCCCACCTACTCCAGCACGATGTCTTGTGTTACTGCTCTCTACAGCACACCATCGTGGATGACTGAGTGTGAGCTGTGGCTTTGGAAATTCTTTTCGTAGAAAGGCTATGCTTAAACCTTCCAAAGCGGGACATTCAAATTTCTTGTCTCTGTTTGGTTTGCCTACACTAGCAGCCAAGAGACAGGAAATGTTAACCCATTCTTGAAGTATACCATGCAAGAACAGCCCCTGGGAAAAAAAAAAAAGCAGCTTAGAATTTACATTTTTTGACATTTTCTAAACCATTAACTACCATAATGACTTCAAACAAAATCTGGTGAAAAATAAATGCCTTTATGTCTTGGACAGCATCTGCATGGCAGAAATTCCATATGGTGTGGTATAAAAGAATTATTACCTAACCCTAAGAAACAGGTGGGTTTATAGTGGAAATGCTGACATCTTAACCTCTGCTGGTGCTATTTAGCTTTAACAAGAACAACAAAAATATACAAATAGTGTAACCCAAAGGCATAAAATGGCAAATTACACAGGCTCGTACAAGATGTGGCTTTGTACTCGGCTGGGGAGAATTCTGCACCAGAGCTACCTAACTGTCTTGGGAAATGTATGCAAGATGCACAACAGAGTTTCTGTCCAAATGCTCAGTAAAGATCCTGTACCAGTTTATGCTGTAAGGAATCCTAGTATCCTGGCCAGATTGCAGTGAGTTTTGCTTGACTGAGGTCTGCAGGGAAAGTCCCTGATGCTAACTCGCTCCTTCCTCTCTGCTATGTTAACATCACAGGCTTTTCTTCTTTTTACTTGCTGCCCAAATATTGCTGTGTAATCTCTGGCCGGGTACCATGAAACAATCACTGGATTTCCCCCCTGAGGTAACTGCCGTACCAGTGAATCAGACCAGTGAGGTCTGATTCAATGTGAGTAGCCCAAGGCAGTTCGCCTGGTAGTGCCAGGCACACTGCCTGCCTGTGCCTGAGGTGAGGGAGGAACACCCACGCCTGGCAGGCGAGGGTGGGGGAAACCAGTGGTTTTTGCAGCTGCTTTTCCTTGAATTTGCATCAGAGGACAGGAACTGGAAGCAATAAGGTCCCCAGAGCACTCGGTCAGTTCGCTGCCCACGAGAGAACTCCTGCTGAATGGGCTGTGGGGTTAATAGGGCTTACGAACATAAGAGTTTTTGGAAAAGAATCTAAGAATGTGTTGCATTTCTGACAGACCATTCCTCTGCCACAGAGTCACCTACTGCATTGTAAAAGGTATCTACAGACAAAACTTTTAAGAACGTTCTCCCTTAAGTTACTGGAAGCTTCCCATAATGGATCATTCCAGACATTATCCCTCTCAGACCACTCCGTGTAATACTGCCATTACATTGTTTACCTGAGAAGTGCGGGCTAGTGATTAGACTAGCAGAGTTTGCGGTATAATTTTTGCATCTTTTTTTCCTTTCTTTTTTTTTTTTTTCTTCAGTTGGGTGCTGCCAGTCAAATGCTTTCCACCCAAGTCAGGAACAGAAGAATTTGGTTTTAAGCAATGTTTACTCAGAGGTTGTTGGCAGGGGCTCCAAAATTACAACCATGGTGTTGCTTCAATAATGAGTCACTGGGTGTTTAAAAATGATCCTCCGGGAGAATAGACAATGCACAGTAAAAACAAAGGGCTGTTTCCTGGGTAGCCCATCTCCACCAACCCTTCTGCTACTGTGAACACTGTGGCATTAGCCTGCTTCCTAATATGCTGGGAAACTGCTTGACCATCAGAGGAAAAAGCCCCAACTGTTCATGGTGGGCAGCCCCATACCAGCCCTGGAAGTGGGGAGGACCAGTGCACCACTGCGGTTTGGCTCTGCTTTACCTGCTGACTGTTGCCTAGCCACACAAGGCAGGAGTCAGGCTGTGTCTGGCTCCAAAAAGATAGGTATTGGCTCCTCAGTCTGAAATTTTTATAAACCCTTGCTCAGTTGTGGTCTACTCCAGAAGCTGAACTCTATCCAAAATCCAAAGCAGGAGTAAAATTTAACCAGATCTCCTCCAGACCTCAGATGTGCGGTGCTTCTTACTGTCCTGCCCACGGAGGCAATGTATGGCACCTCTGCAGAAGCTTTATGGTACCTCAGTTCTCCAAGGTTTGCACAGCACTTTAGAGAAGTGCCTCTACACAGGCTCAGCAATAACAGTCCTACCCATCTCATGCCTAAACTCATTCAGGATACAAGACATGAGCACTTTCCTTGCTCAGAGAATTAATTTCCATGAGCAAACTCAAAGAAAAGCCACAGAGCTGCTCATATAAAAGTGGGAGCTGACCCAAGCAGCACAGGCAATAAGTCACAGAATCACAGAAGGTTCGAAAAGACCTTTAAGATCATCGAGTCCAACTGTAAACCTAAGACTGCCAAGTCCACCGCTAAACCATGTCCCTAAGCACGCACAAATAAAACCACTCGCTCTTGTTCTTGTAAGTAAACATCACACTTCACTTTTGTAAAAACAGGCCCCGGTGGCAAAGCAGATTATATCCTTACACCACGGACCCTGGAACATACGTGGAAGAGAAGCTGTGCTCATGCCCAGTGTTTACAGAGAGATCCTCCCTCACTCTGCATTACAGGAGTACCAGGCAGCTGCGGTTATTCTTGTAGCTCATCTTTAGAGACCTTTCCCATTTTTCAAAAGGCTGACATGCCAGCTGCTACGTGGAAGGTTTACAGTACTACACAGCTGCTGGGCTGTGATACAATCCTAAATAACTACACTAAAGCTAGACGGGTCAGATGAAGGAAGCCAGATTCACTCAGCACTGCAGGACTTTTTTATCATGTATCTTGACACTTTCGCTCTTTCCCAGACTTGACTAACCCAAAGCAGTGGTCAAGCAGGATCACTCCTTTATTTGGGTGAAACAAACACCTGCTCTGGGTGCTTCTGGCTGTTGTCAAAGGAAGCGAGAGGTTAAAACACCAAGTGTCCGATTCTGGGTATTCATGAGTACAGCCTGCCTACACGGGTGACTGCATTCAGAAGACCTGAGCTGGCTGCAGGGCTCTGCTTAGCAGTGCACTCTACTTGAGGTGGCATTTGTTGTCCAAATAAAAATGCATCAGCGGCTTTTATGCCTGCTACTTTTCAGGCTTCTGAAAAAGCTATATGAAAGACAGAAAGGATGACTTTAAGAAACCCAGCAATAACCATGGCTTGTTGATAACATGAAAGACAACTTTTTTCTCCAAGTGATTCAGGTGTATTTTCCTGTGTGAAGGATTATTATCTAGTAACAACATGTTCTGAGTGATTTCATCATAAAAGCCTCTACATATGCTGATCTGGTCTGCACTGAGTACAAGGACGTTTCCTGTTGTACCTCTAATCCTCTTCCCTTCCAACACTTTTCATTAGGTTAAACAGGCCTCTGGACTGCTTGTTCCTAGTCAATTCAGAACAGAAGCAGCTCATCACCAAAACATATCTTGAGCGAACATTTTGTAACAGTAATTAAAAGAATACCCATGCTACTTGACAACGTGAAAATGCGGAGCATTTGTTCTGACTCTCACGTCCCAAAGACATGACCTCACATGGGAAGCCAGGACATGTGGTCGCACTGCTCCTTCTGTATGAGGAAGGGGGAGGTAGGTGGGTAAGTAAAGAAAGGAGGGTACCAAAGCCAGTATTTTCAGAAGTAACTTTTGATTTTGGATATCCACCTATAAATAAATGAACTTGCTGATTCTGAAGGGGATGCTCAGACCTCTCAATGCATTGTTGAACCATTTTTTATGGATTTGAATGTTTGATGGCAGTTTAGTTTTGAAGATGGACTTCTGAAGGAAGGAGGTGGCTGCAAAAGAAAAGTTCTCTTTCTCCCACTTGTGGAATACGGAGAGCAGCCCCGTCTAGCACTTAAGAATTTATATCCTAACAAATGCCACTGAACTTCAGACCTCATAAGGATTCTTTTTCCTTTTACCTCTTCCCTTTTAGGAATGCCTGTGGTCATCTGAGTTTAAATAATCCTGCATTTCAAACCAGCAATTTTCAATTTTCCTTGTTTACGCGTTAAAGGAAACAGATGGTGTTCCCACAAACTATCTAGCTCAACATTCTCAAAACATTGTTAACCACTTAATCCATGCAGAGCAACTAACGGAGACCAGGTTTGGCTCTGGTGAAACACGTAATGAGCCTACATCGAACTTTCAGTACTGCAAAACAAACACAATTGAGCAGAAAGTTTGTTCTGTTCTTGCTGAAGATCATGCTCTTCCAAGAGCAATTACTTGGGTCTTTTCCATGCCAATGGCACGTTCCTAACCAAGAAAAAGAGCTGAATGTGCACGTACTCTGCAAAATATCCAGTCCTGTGATTCATTAAAACCCTTCTCCTTAAATATGAGGAAAAAAACCCCATTCTATTTCTTCTAGGATTAAAATGGATATCAGGCTGCAATAGAGAACATTCCTAAGTAAGGCAGCCACAAGACAGTTCTCGTGCTTACAGCTGATGCACAACACTGT